GTTAGTCGCAATCACGTGACTGTCAAAAATAAAGTCCTCAAGATGTCTGATATTAGTGTTGGCGAATATTGCGAAATTTTAAACAATTAACTACGTAATTCACTGTTCCTAGTATTCATGTCTTCCGGGTTAACGCGTATTTGGGTTACATACATAACGTATTGCGAACGAAAATAAGCATAAACAAGGGAACGTGAGTAACTACTCTTTATATTTGACGGCTCATTGGTCTAGTGGTTAGTACCCCTTACTGCGAATCCATGGGTCCCGGGTTCGATCCCCGGCTGAGACAAACATCGATGTGATGAGCATTTGGTGTTGTGCTTAGGTCTTGGGTGTTTAAATATGTATTTATATATCTATCTATAGTATGTATGTATATCCGTTGCCTAGTACCCATAACACAAGCTTCACCAGCTTAGCATGGGACTAGGTCAATTGGTGTGAATTGTCCAATCATATCATATCATATATCATATATACGAAATTCTGGAATCTGGTTGTTCTCTAAAATCATTTAAATTCATAGGCAACAGACGCCACCGATTTTGATGCAACAATATTCAGGGAAATCAGTAACGTCCTTATGATAGCTCGAGTGTATACATGTGCCTAAATATCACTTTGAGTTATGAACCGTGTGGTCCGAATATGTATGATAATGAATGCGAAATGCTTATTCACTATATGAAACTCATGTTTTTATCAAACTCATTCACTTCACTTTACAAAAATTCGTCAACTGTTGTTACTAAGACGGGAAATCGTGTTAATACTGAAATGAAGACAAAATTAATCAATTGATAATTTAGATTATGAACAACTTTTACTTACGTAAGAATATAATATACAGATATAGTTAAGTTGCTACCAGGATTAAGGGTTCACAGGGACCTAAATATGTTTTACTTTTCAATTTCTCAATTTTTAATTATTATTATTATGTCCGTTGAGAATATTATAACAACTGTATAGTTTGTTTTAAACATATTACTGCCATTTGTTGGTATTATTAAGAGAGGTTTAGATTTTATTATTGCGGAATAAAATATTTTAAATCGCTAACCATGAAAACGTTTATACATTAAGCGGAAACAATGACAGCAAAACGCCGCCTACGCACATAATCCAATATTGCAATGAGGACTTAGCTCGTAAGACGTATTGTTTGCAAAACTTTCCATTAAGAAATTTTATAAATATTTTTTCAATTTTATATGTCAACTAGCGGACCCGACAGAAGATGTCATGCATGATATTTTAAGCGATTAGGATATTAAACAAAGTATGAAAGAACCGACTGCAGCGCCATCTGCCGGGCTGATTTGTGAATCTAAACCATCCAGGGCTCCACCAAAACTTACAAAAAAAAATCATTCAAATCGGTCCAGCCGTTTAAGGGGAGTTCAGTGACATACACACGTACAGTATTCTATCTTTTAAGTTCGATCAAAGAGTCCATAGCGGACAAACAACGTGACGCGTAATTTTTTATTTTGTATCGGAAAATTATGTCATAATTAAAACTAGCCGCGACATCCGCGCATGCGTGTATTTCTAAATGAATTCAAAGCTTTTTATTGTAAAAGCCTTAACACAATAAACTAGTTTGAAACGAGTCAATCAACACGTTTCTAAACACCGTGAAATTAACAATTAGTACACGCAATAATATCTCTTAAGAACATTGTAATATACGTGAAAATCGTAAGCAAGACAAAACCCGTGACACCAAAATAATGAAGATAAAAACCAACCTTAAATCAAAATTCATAAGACAAAGAGTGCGTAAAATGCTGACTGATAGTGAAAAGAAACTAATGTTACATGTCAAGAGAGACAGTAAAGACGGGATGGTGCTATTAAAGGAACAGCAGAATTTGAATTGTTTAGAAAGACAGAAACGAAGATAAAGCTCATTATTGTAAATTGGTATGAAATGAGACTATCGTATTTGTTTTTTTTTTATAGAACAGGGGGCAAACGCGTCGGAGGCTCACCTGGCTCACCTGATGTTAAGTGATACCGCCGCCCTTGGACACTCTCATTGCCAGGGCTTGCGAGTGCCTTGCCGGCCTTCTAAGAATTGGTACGCTCTTTTCTTGAAGGACCCTAAGTCAAATTGGTTCGGAAATACATCAGTGGGCAGCTGGTTCCACATAGTGGTGGTGAGCGGTAAAAACTGCCGTGAAAAACGCTCAGTTGTGGAACAGTGGACGTCGAGGTGATACGGGTGGAATTTATCAGCAAAAGTTCACTTTATTTCTCATACAGTTGATTTATACAAATAATAATCTGACACATTTAAATAAAATATTTGTCAATCTAATAGGCAAGTATCAGCCTCTTGTGCCTGACACACGCCGTCGACTTTTTAGTCTAAATCAAGCCGTTCTCACGATGTTTTCCTTCACCGTTCGAGCGAATGTAAAATGCGCACATAGAAAGTCCTTTGGTGCACAACCGGGGATCGAACCTACGACCTCAGGGATGAGAGTCACACGCTGAAGCCACTAAACCAACACTGCTCACTCACTGCTGACATATTTAAAACGTTCTAAATTTACCCAAGCACTATACATCATATAATTTCAATCACAGATCGTGAGTCTTAGAAATAATAAAAAGAACGATAAATTCTTGCGTCTATCTTACATTTCCACAGATTTCAACACATCACTTCCGATCTAAAAAATGATCTCCATCGCGTATTCAATTTGATACGATACAATCTAAGTATTTTGATTATGTGAGAATATATACTTCTCGGCATTCGGCAACCGCCTCAATCGACCATTGATCACGAACGCTTTATGAATACGCTGGTGTATCAAAAGTTACGTAGTTTGAGTCGCTATATCTTACTAATGGACCTTCGCGAGTATTAGTTTCCGTTGAACTTAAAATAACAATAGTAGTTCCATACAAACAGATATTTTGCTATCAATTATCAGTGATAACCGTAGTAGTGTAGTCGACTATATTGCGAAGACACTTTCGATTAAAAAAGAAAATGAATCGCTCTTGACCCATTGGCGCAATTAGCAGGTCAGCCAGACTGACCCGCTATCGAAAAAGTGATGTAATTTGTACAAGAAAGGTGTGAGACTATTAGCAAAGACCCAATAGACCACTCGTTTCTATTTACAGTCAGTTCCTCATTAATAGGCATACGTAACATTTATTGACAAAAGTTATTTAATATTGTATTCGTACAATAACATTTGTAGTTAACATCATATGTATTACGCGAATATTCAGATATATATATAAATTTTTTTATGTAATAGGAGGCTCATCTGATGGTAGTGATACCGCCGCCCATGGACACTCACATAACCAAAAGGTTCGCAAGTGCGTTGCCGGCTTTTTAAAAATTGGTGCGCTCTTGAAGGACCGTAAGTCGAATTGGTTCAGAAGTAGCTTCAGTGGGTAGCTGGTTCCAAATAGTGGTGGTGCGCGGAAAAACTGCCTTAAGGAACGCTCAGTTGTTGAACGGCGGACGTCGAGGTAATACGGATGGTATTTTGTATTCTGACTTGACGTCCGATAATGAAACTCAGCTGCAGGTATTAGTCCGAACAACTCCTCTGAACACTCTCCATAGTAAATGAGGTAGAGATGCAGAGAGACATATACTCGTATACTAGAAGCTAATGATAATGATGTACTTAAAATTCAGCTCTTGGATATTTTTGACTAATCCTATATTTTTAATTTTGTAAGCAGTGTTGGTCTAGTGGCTTTAGCGTGCGACTCCAATCCAATCTGATCGTAGGTTCGATCCCGGCGCATGGGCGCATTTAACATTGGCTCGAACGGTGAAGGAAAACATTGTGATGAAACCGGCTTTCCTTAGACCCTAAAACTCGACGGCGTGTCAGGCACAGGCTGATCACCTACTTGCCTATTAGATTGAAAAATGACCATGGAACGGATACAGAAATCAGAGGTCCATACCTAAAAAGGTTGTAGCGCCACTGATTAATTTTTATTTTATTTTTAATTGAACTGGTAGAGAGATTCTCTTTCGACACAAGGTATATTACTTGTATCCTTTGAATGAACACTGGCATTTAGTAAAATAATTTATTCGTTCTGTATTGATCGTGACTAAGAGTATCATTATTTAAAGCGTGCTAATTTCTAAAGTTCATCTCATTCGTGACTATTTCTTATCTCCTAATATTAAAAACGTGAAAGTCTTGCGAGTTTGTCTAACATCTAAACGGATTCTGACGACAAATTAATATCGTAAATAATCTTTATGCCGGAGGGGAAAGCAAATTTCAATCAATTTTGTTATTACCTATCTACATTGATTAGTTACAAGACTATGTACACGCAATTACATAGAAAGTAGATAAAAAACGAAAAACAGATATGGCGAAATTGACCTCATAGATGTCGGCGAACATCAACAAATAACACTTTTTGGGTCAATTCTCTAATAGAAGCTTATAATTATCAGAAATGGAGCGACGCAAGCGCAACATCAATCTTCATGTTATCATACCAACGCTATCATTATACACAATTAACTAAATGACATAAAATTTAATCAGGATTTAAATTCGTTCACAATGATTTGAGGCTTTGATGGCAAATAAAAAAAATTATTTAATGAAAAAATAAATGCGTGCAACTTGAAGGTTTATGAAATGTTTTTATTAAATTGTTTATGCATTATCGGTGAGTTATATGCATGCAATGACGAATTGCAGAATTGTTTATATATTTTGCGTATTAAACGTTCCTAAACTTATCAGTTAAAAAAAAAGATTCCTACTTAAAGACGTGTTTAAATAAATAACATAAATAACTTATTATATCAGTACCACAGTACATACCTGCACCATTTTTACAATCCACACACAATATTCACTCATCGAAGTTAAAGATTTCAAGGTAATACGATTTTCTGAGAAACAGAAATATACCGATGCGTGCACAAATAAAAAGATGTTTACTCAACTGTAAAGCCGATTGGAATAACTCACCAATATATCGGTGTACCAGAGTGTCATGGCTTGGCCGGTATCCATCCGCGTCAGAGCGAGTCGCGACAGCTCGTGGTCATTGTCAACGGTTGGCATCCGCAACACAAAACAATTGTTTTCCACAGTTCAATTTTTCACTCGATTTATCGAACCAAATGACATAAACCGGTAATCGCACTATTTTTTTAGGTTAGAAAAGGAGCGATGAACGGGCGGGCGGCGCGCACGCACGTCTGCAGGACTGTGCGCTCTGTCGATCGTCAGCAGAGAAAGTGATCCCGCGCAGACTCCGCGGCGTCTGCCAAATCGGCGTTTTCACGGTTCGAAAACTGATTGTTTTTTCCAGATAAATGGTTTGCTACAATGGGGACATAATGGCGGCGCCATTGTCGCTTGTCACAAGTCTGTGCCGCTTTCTGAGCTACGGCTGTGTTTTTTACACGGAAGTGGTAATTGTGTGAGCAATAAACAGATCGAACTCGGTTACAGCATGCGCGATTCTTACATCAGCGTGACCATAAACACGTAACACACTTTTTACGATTCGCGTTTGTCATCAACGGCTCATTACTATTGCTCGTAAAATTTAGAAGCGTTTCGAAAATTGATTTCTTAATTGTCCTTAGTTATAATCGATGATCGAAATGATAATCCGTGCGATAAACGCATCTCAGCGGAACTCGATTCGATATGCTTTCCACCGTACTTCACAGTTTTAAATTTGTGTTTTTCTATTCGTAATCTACAGCCTGTATTAACGGAGCTTTCACTTATTTGACAATAAGGAATAAAAATTTCCTTCAAAATCTATGCCAAAGAGAAAATGTGACAAACATTCGTTCCAAAAAAGATGAATGGTACTGCCAACAAGTTCTGAGAAATAATTATAAATCTACTGTTTTAATATCTTATAACACACTTTATTACGGGGACGCGTAATTGGAGATTTACGGGTCAAAATTTTGAAATAAGATTTATTGGTGCGTAATTTTAGTAAGTTCAATGAACACGTTTGTCGGTATAAGATTAAATTTGTCGAGTGATTGCTTCCGTACTAGTATTTTGTTTGACAGAAGTTAATTGGGAGGTTTTCGCACTTCCCGCTTCGGGAAATAGACCGTATAGAACTGTTCACCCGTTAAACATTGGGGCGTTAACCGACCGCTCCTATTTATTCCTATCATCAACACTTATCTAGGCCCGATATGCTAATTAATTGTAAGAAGAAACGTTCAGGAACTTTACGAAATTTTCGTCAAGCATACTTCAATACTATGTCAGTACAAGACAGAACGAACACATTGATTTTCTATACAATTAGTAATATAATACACGAATTCTAACTAAACAACGCGTTTGTGCTTCCGTTTACTTCCACGCAGCACTTCTTAGACTGTCCATACGGAATCGTCTCCATATAATTACGACATTATTATGGTGCATAAATATTTAGTAGTCCTAATCCCGGGTGGATTAGGACTACTTAATGTGGTTATCAAACCATATATTATATACAGCATATCCAACAAATTACGAATTTATAAATACATAGTCATTCTTTGTTTTTATTTCGTTGGATTTAAAGTGATTCAGGCGAAAATATTATACGCCATAACTAAATAAAATAAAAAGATTTTGTAGTTTTGGTAACCGCCATAGATCTTTCAGTTGCTGATAATTTAAGGAGCCGAATATAATTCCTATTACACAATCAATGAAGATTGAATAATGATTAAATCGAAGTGCATTAAGCGTTTTAAGTGAAAGTGAGCTTCCATTGACATCACAATTGATTGATCACTATCTTATTTTGTGACGTCTCGCGTGATTTATGACGAAATCAGCGAATTATTCTGACGCTATTCTGTACGCACTCTATAAATAAAATTTATTTCCGTCATATTTACATACATTTACGTAATGTAACAGGTATTCCTATTTTTACGACTTATGTGACTAAGTGTCGAATAAACAATAGTTACGATGATTCACGGTTTGAAACCGTTTATGCAAAGTGTACTAAGTATTCTTCTAGTAAGTATTGAAATTTCTAATGGTAGATTAAGGACTGATCTGGTCGCCAAACTCCAAAAAAGTACATTGTTTCATTTTTCGAAGTAGGGCGAATGGGAAAAATATATAGTGGAGTATGGTAGTTTATGTATCCATTTTGTAAAATCTATACACGAATTAAATAACTTCGCTCGATAGAAAAATCAAACTAAAAATGTACATCGAACATAATTTTGAAATTTACTCGATATATTTTATCGCAAGCCAAGTAGCCTACTTGGCTTGCGATAAAATATATCGATCCATTTCAGAAAAAAAAATTGCTAAAATTACATTAATTTAATGTTTTACATAAGTAATTGTTATTACGGGCCGGCGCGCCAGCTCTCCACTGCGCCCCGCAGTCCACGCCGAGACACTGACACAGCAATTTATGCTGGGATAGCGCCTTAAGATTAAGGACCCTTAGGTAAAATGTCATCTAAGTAAAATTGTCCTAAATAAAAGAGTGTACCGGCAACGCATTCGCGAGTCTTCTATCAAAGTGTCATGATGTCCATTTTTCATATATAAAAAAGCATAGGGAACTAAAAGCCCTTGTAGCTTGATTATGAACTAATTTAAACAACCGTTAACGCTCATAAAACGACTCTGAGTACGGCTGTGTTTAACCAACCAAGCAAGAGAAGAATTAGTATGCACGCATTGATCGCGTTTCTATTATCTAACGGCTATTATAATAAGAATTGACTGTGGTTTCGAAAGCTGCGGTTTGGTATCAAGTAGGCATTGTCTTAGTCATTACAGAAGACTTTTTGTACGTATTATTAAATTAAGTGTGGGTGGTATAAGCTTTATTTGGCAACATTGAGTCACACTTATATAAGCTTTTGGAAGCTGTAAGGCTTAGCTAGCGACTGAGCCAGTGCTTTTCTTGTAAATTATTCAATATAATTTTTCAATTTCGTTGCCGTATATAAAATTTTATTTACGAATAGGTACCAACTTCAGACAATAGATGGCGTTGATATACATTTCAACAGACTCGAATCATAATATGAAATAGTTTTCTGTCTTCATACCCGGTATATGTATATGATACTATAAAAATATATATATCCGTAAAGATTAAAATGTTTTCACGTAAACCAAAGGCAAACTATTATATAACAACTGAAACGATATTTTGCGTTGACACTTGCGGTATTTTAACAGACAATATTCTTTAAATTATTGTTTTCCTTTAACAGATTAAAAATATATACTATGGAATTTAAAAAAAAAATATCATTATTAATTATTTTCGTGAAACATTATAATTTATATTAATTTGATAACGTAATAATAATAATATATTTTAATAATGTTCATCATATTAGTGATAAAAAAATAAAATAATTGACTTTATGATATGATTGATAGTGTAATGTAACATGTGACTTCTATGTAAAATTCTATACCATCATAATATTTTTGTACCACATTCTTTAAAATAAATTGTTATTATAGTATATATAAAATATATTTATATTATAATTAAAGCTTTTGCTTTTAATATGCATAGCATATTGACGTCATATGAAATAGCAGTTCAATCAAAAATAAGAACAATTAATAAGTTAAAAATATCCTTTGTGAATTCGGTAATTGACTGTGAAATTAAATCGAACAAGATTTCTTTATTAAGCCGATACATTCAGTTGATTTGAATTTGAACCGGGTCCGCATGGTCTAACGAAATTTTTCCTCGGCTCGAACATTCGATATACTTGCATTTAGCATAGACAAAAAAGACGGTAAAGGTGTTGTACAGGCAAAACCGTTTACGACGACATCGTTTAGAACAACATACCGGTTATATTGACCAAAATAATCCCGGCTGAATTCTATTGTATTAGGTTCTTAATAACAACGTCATCGGCTGTTACCACTATCGGTTTTTACGACCAAATATGAGTAGTCCCTTCGATATCGTTATAACAGATTTTCACTGTATGTATTTAAAAAAGAATCTCCTATTAACTATAATTAACAAACGGAGCAGAAAAAGTCCTAATAGATCTCAAGCTATTAGTAAATGTTATTTTTATGAATATCATCATTATCATAGTATAGTAAAATGATTTTCATTTCGTAACATGTTCCACTCATCCCAGATATGTTACCTCACGATGACGTCACGACTACATTTGGGTCAGGTTTTATTAGAAGTCGTGTTTACAACCTATTCCCGTTTTAATCGTGTTGATATTGTAAACGAAATAATTAACTAGTATAGACTTTGATGACTTTATAACTATCAAATTCGTATTAAAAATATATTAATAACGCATGAAACCATTCGCTCCGGTTTGAAATCGATTTAAAGAGATGTTTTAACAGTTCTATATATTTTATGCATTGACAGCATAGACAAAGCCTATATTGTATTTGTATTGTTCAAACAATAAATCAGTGGCGCTACAACCTTTTTAGGTCTAGGCCTCAGATTTCTGTATCTGTTTCATGATCATGATGTCAATCTAATAGGCAGGTAGGCGATGAGCCTCCTGTGCCTGACACACGCCGTCGTCATTTCGGCCTAAGGCAAGCTGGTTTCCTCACGCTGTTTTCCTTCACCGTTCGAGCGAATGTTAAATGCGCACATAGAAAGAAAATCCATTGGTGCATTGGCGAACCTGCGACCTCAGGGATGAGAGCCGCTGGAGCCACTAGGCCAACGCTGCTATATTACATACTTAACAAAAATGCGATATTATGCGACAATACAACTCAGTTTCTATAAACAATTACCTTTGCAATAGTATTACACAGACAGAAGCTTCAACAAGATACCTTACTTTTCATTCCCCAGTAATGTGATAACAATAATACTATTAACCTATTTTACACTATTCAAGCAAGGAATTATGGAAGACTATTTTTTCTTAACTCAAATGAATTCACAATAAATTAAATTTCGTATGCCTAAATGAATAGTAATGGTTTTTTAAGTTATACATGAGCAGTGACTTTATATATTTTAACCTGTTTTACCCGAACGAAGCGTCTATTGTTACAGATTCTCAACAAAGCTCTTGACC